ATTTATTTGAGAGAGAGAGAGAGCACGGGGCGGGGGCGGGAGGTGGAGGGGCAGAGGGAGAGGGAAAAGCAGACTCCCCACAGAGCAGGGAGCCCCACGCGGGGGCCGGGTCCCAGGACCCCTGAGATCATGACCTGAGCCGAAGGCAGATGCTTAACTGATGAAGCCACCCAGGCGCCCCCAAAACAGAGATTTTCTGGAAGATTGAATCAGGAGGGAAAAAAAAAAAGGTCCTCTTTCCTAAACAAAAGTAATTATAGATTGAGGGCGTAATTGGAAAAATGAAGAAGCAGGATGTAGAAATGTACATGATCTCAAATGTTTTAAAAAGACAAATATATAAAAATTAGCAATCTGAGATTCTCAGTGATGGCAGACTAAATATATAAACTCCTTCTTCACGAAACCGCACCAAGATGACGCTAGAATGGTTTGTTTGTTTGTTTGTTTGTTTGTTTGTTTGAAGTCAAAGCCTGCAAAGATAAAGAGCAAAGAAGAGGAAACAGTAGTAGACAGGGGGACTGGAAAGCAAGCCGAGAGGTGATAAGGGACTTAGGGGACTCAAAAAACTGCTTTTGAAGCTGACTGTGTGTGTGGGGGGGGGGACTTAGAGACCTCCTGGTTTACACAGTGGAATCCTTCAGAAAGGTGGAGAATTGGCAGCACCAAGTGCCTCTGGGATGGGAGAGCTGAAGAGAAGAATTAGTCAGGATCTGTTTAAGAAGTTAGAGCTTCCAGTTCTGACCTCCCTCCTCACACAGGGGCCACTGTCCCTTCTGTCCTCTGGCAGAACTGGAGGCACATTCTCTGGAGGAGGTAAAACAGGGACCCCAGGCACAGTTGAGATTGAGAGCTAAAATCCTAAAATCAGGATGCTAAGTAGAAGATTACCAAATGCTGAGACTCTTAGTCATCTTCCTCTGCTTGACTTTCTTATATCTTTCCTGCAAGAATTAGAAGAGCCTTTTCTATAAAAATCTAAACAGGCCAAGAGAAGAGATTTGAGGGTACCGATAATGGGGAAGGATCCACAATGAAATGACCCAGCAGGGTCCCTGTAGAGAATTGTCAACAAGCCCTCGATGTGCAAAGAGCTTTCAGTCAGTGTTTCCCTCTTGGATGAGTGGGCAGACAAGGTCACTGAATATTTAAGAGAAGATTCTAATATGAATATCGAGTAAAAACAAAGAAAAAAGGTATATTCAATGAAAAACATCATTAAGGGAGAAAAAATTTCCAGGAGAAAAAAATCATTAATGTCTTTAGAAAGCGATGTCACAACCATAAAACAAGACTTTTTGTAATCTAGAGAACAAAGAGATCATAGCAATTAAAACCATGAGAGAAATGAAAAAAAAATTAGAAAAGTTAGAAGAAAAAGTTAAGGAAATTACATGTAAGGTGAAACAAAAAGATAGATGGAGAATTTGAGAGAAAAAAAGTGTGAAAATGAGAGGACCAGACCTCAGTATCCAACATCTAAATAACAGACTGCCAGGAAGAGAAGACACAGAAGTCTTATATATATATAATATATATGTTAAAATATATATATTATATAATATATATGTTAAAAAGTATATATTATATAATATATATGTTAAAAAGTATATATTATATTATATATGTTAAAAAGTATATATTATATAATATATATGTTAAAAA